GGGGAAGGAGGCAGGCTGCAGGAAAAGACACCACAGGGGAAGGAGGTAGGCTGCAGGAAAAGACACCACAGGGGAAGGAGGTAGGCTGCAGGCTGCAGGTACTTTTTGAAACAAAATGCAAGCTTTTATTTTCCCTAAGAACGACTGAGCCCTTTGTGATTTATGTTTAGGCTTCTTTCTCTTGAGAAAGAAAGCAGTGAAAACCAACATAAAAGTACAGAGCGACAGACAATAAATCAGAGGGAGGGGCAACTCTGCATTCCCATCTCTGAGCTCAGGCTACACCTTCTGGCTCCATCCCCAAGCCATTGCCTTCTCCACCCTGCAGTCTTAGGGGCTGTTCTCTGCAAGGTTGGCTGGCCACACAGCTGCCCGCACAGCTGGCCCCCACGGGTCTCCCACTCCTTGCACGAGTTGGGACTGAGAGGTATTAGAAATCCGTTTGTGGGTCTGCTACTGCCCAAGCCCACAGATTTCACATAAATACAAGTATTTGCCTGAGGCAAGGCTCTTTCTGCCTTTGGGTTAGGCAGGAGTCCTCCAAAGACACTCCCACCAAAGTGAGAGTGATTCTGTGAATCCTTTAAATTATCCAGGTTATGAATGTTGGGGATTCTCTATTTTTCTTTTTGCTTATTTTCAGTTTCTCACTGGCAGTACTTATTTCTTGAAAAGGAGAAGGCTGAAGAGGAGGAAGGGAGAGGAGAAAAGAGAGGAGGGGGAGGAAGGGAGAAGGAGAAAAGTTGGGGGGAGGAGGAAGAAGAACATTTGCAAAGAGCCTACAGAAGCTAGCCTACTACAACCAAAAGCTCCCCCACCTGCTCCTCCGAAGTGTAGGACCCCCACTGGCAGGAACGCTTGCCGGGTGGCCCCCTAGCCACTCAGTCCAGGCACAGCACTCACTCCTTACCCACTCGGAAGATCAGGTCGTCCTCGATGGGGTTCTCTTTTCGCTTGCCGGTGCTGTACATGCTGGCGGGTCTCTTCACAGCCTTCTGCTTGACGTGGCCGCTCCCAGGGGACTTGACGCGCCGCTTCACGCCCTCGGTGGTGGGGGACACATCGGCAGAGCGGATGACCTTGAGTTTGAACGGGCTGCCTCGGATGTGCTGGTCGTAGAGCCTGAGGGACAGGGTGAAGTCCCCCTCCTTCTGCACGGTGTACAGGAACTCGTAGGTGCCGTTCTTATTGTCCAGGATCTCTCCGTCCGCCACGCTGCCGTCGGGGGTGCTGAGCTCCGCGGTGAGGTACGCGTTGCCTGTCTTGCAGAGCTCTCCGTCTTTGTCCTTCGTGGTTATGGTGACGGACATGGGCTGCCCGATGATGGTCTGCCGAAGGCCCTCACCCGTGGCCACCGTCTCCGAGGCGACAGCGTTCGTGGTGAGGATGGTCCCTAGGTTGTGGATGGACTTCTTCAGTCCCTCGGTTTCCACGATGAAATCCAGCTGATCGTTCTCGCGCGGGTGCAGTGGGAAGTCCTGGTCCGCCAGTTCGTTCAGCTTCTCGCTCATCTGCTTCTTCACCAGCAGCACCTCCGTCTCCGTGCCATGGTTGAGGGCCTGAGCCGTGAAATTGCTGCAGCTCTTAATGCTCTCCTGGCCTTGGAGCAGGGTATCCAGTTGTGACTGCAGCACCTGCCAGGTACACAGAAGCAGTGAGCACTTCCTACAGGACACAGCGCGGCCTGCGGGACGCTTGCCAAGGAGCTGGGGCAGAGCCCTCCGCCCAAAAGAACCAGCTTCTATACCCGCCCACTCAGGTGGCTCCGCACCGGCTGCATTCCATTTAACCCAGTGAACCCATGCAAAATGCTAAATTGCCTTTCCAGTGCCTTCTGGAGATTTCCCTTCCGCCTCACCCTGCCTCATCACCCACACGTGCCTTTCTTGGGTCATCTGTTTACACGGGGCAAAGCAGAAAGGACACTACCAAGAGTGTGGCAACACAAACTGTCTGCTCGATGTGAAATAGTCATTACTCCGTGGCTTTCCCTAACCTTCAGAGCTGCCTGGTCACCACCTCAAGGAACAAAAACCAACCATTTGAGAAGTCTCCGCATTTGAATACCAGAAGCTCTCCTCCCCGGCGGCTTGGTGAACAGCCTGAACAAAGGCTGCAGTCAGGATCCACTTTGAAGTTGAGGAACAGGTTGGTGTGGGTGAGAGCAGTTAAGAGACTCTCCCACATTATAATTAAGGGAGGAAAACATTCCAGGCAACTCTAAACCCTGAAAACATCACGATATGCAACCTCTCCTTATGTCAAACGATACATTGCTACAGAAGGTCACAGAATCCCAGTTTTGCCAAAAGAAAAACGGGGGTGGGGGTGAGTGGGGAATTCTCTACTAAATGAAAACAGGAGTTCACAGCACAGTGGTGACATTTAAGGACCTGTGTAGGCCCCTGCCGCCACTGCTGCTGTTAGAACACAGTAAGCCGGTGCTCTGAATGGAGCGGCCCTGGCGGCACACCTCCTACAGGAAACCTGTAGGACAGCAGAACCTTACTTTGTGTTTGAGGCCATAGTTGACCTCCAGCTCCATGAGCAGCACGCTCTTGCGAACATTTAAAGTCTTCTGCAGCTCATCAAAGGTGGAGTGGATGTCATCTACGATGCTGGCCTTTTGGTTGGTTAACTGATGGATGATTTCTGAGATGAACTGAAGAGCAGAATCTATTTCTGGGAGTCTGAGAGACAGGAGAGTCGTTAACCATCATTAACCCAGAAGTACTCCAAAGTCTACCTACACCTTTCAGTTTCTCTAAAAGCAGAATGCCTTTTCTATGCTGCTTCTCACCATCTTTAAAAAGCAATAGAACCAATGTGACTTTCAGGGTCACATCTCTTTCAGTCTGTCTTCAACCATAGACTGTTAATTATTGATGGTGTGATATTCCTCGTCATAGAAGATTGCCTTGTGCACATAGAATGTTTAACAGTTTAATGTTTAGAGTGCTCTCTCCTCTACCCAATGCCCACAGCATATCCCCACCCCACCAATGCTAGGACCCCAAAATGCCTTTAGGTATTGTCAAGCATTCTGGGTGGGTGGGGTTGGTCAGAATTGCCTGTGGTAAAGAACCACTATAATCTATATGTCTAGCTTTATCATTTTTTTCCCCAGTCATATAAACTTAGCTTAACTCAGAGTATCTGGAGAACTTCTTGTAAGTATCCAAGTTCCTTTAAGTAACATTGAAAGACTACACTTTTCTCACTGAGACTTTTGACTATTTTGTCTCGTTTTTCAACTGGTTGTTGATGTCTTCTTTTCGGTTTCTCTCATAAAGGACATGGTACTACTTTTATTTGTGTCCATGCCAAAGGAAAAAAAAAACCCGAAAACAAACACTCTAGGAAAATTGAGCAATCAGTGCTCAGCACGATTGTATGGGGCTCGGCAGAGAAGAGCCATCCCAGCCGCCACCGCAGCCCGGAAGTATGGCAACAGCTCTCAGGAAAACCTTGGTTCTGGTTCGAGGCAGGAAATTCAGAGATCTCATGATCAAGAAGAACGTAGGACATACAGAGTCATATATACAGGCTAGCACGGCTCTACCATCTCAGATACCAGACGTGGAGGCCGGGCCTCACATGGGGAGGGGTGGGGAGTCTGGAGGGGCATGGCACCTTTTGTTGACTGCATCCAGCTGGACCTGGAGTGAGGCCTTATGCTGTTCTACCACATCCTTCAGGGGTACGGTGGGGTGCTCCGCGTGCTCCCCCTCGGTGCACTCCCGACACATGGCCGTCTCACAGGACTGGCAGTAGAATTCCATCACCTGTGGGAACACAGAGCGCTTACTCTGCAGGAAGCGTATATATACATGCTCCCCCTTCCTTCTCAGTCATGAAAGCTGCTGGCATCACAGGGGCTAAGCTTCGACATGACAGGCCTCAAGCAGAGGTGCATCTGACTCCACAGCCGCTGCCGTGGCTCTCAGACACGTGGGCCTCAGAACCTAAGTTCTTTGTAAAGCACTGAGGACTTCAAAAGAGCTTTTGAGCCAGGCATGGTGGTGGAAATCTTTAGTCCTAGCACTCAGGAGGCAGAGGAAGATGGAACTCTGTAAGTTCCAGGCCAACGTGTTCCACATAGAAAGTTCCAAGGCAGCCACGGCTGTTCAGTGAGACCCTGTCTCAAAAACAAACAAAAAGGAGCTTTGATATCTATGGATTCTTTCCTTCCCATGGATATTTGTCATATTAAAAATGAAACAAAAATTTATTTATTAATGTACTGAAAGTGAAGCCACTTAAATACTACTGTTGGCTAATAAATAATAATAATTGGTGAAAAACAATATTTGCAAGACGGAAAATGTTGGGAGGAACACGGCATGGCTTTGCATTTCAGCACATCTCGGCAGTGTTCAGCTTGATAAGAGACATCTGAGTTCTCCTCTGTCTCTGTGTCATTCTATGATGACAGAACCCATCACCCAGATTCCGGGAAGTTCCACCACACACACCTAAGAGAAAGAGAGTAAAAAAGACAAGTGCTACCTTTCTATTTCCGTGCTATGAATGCAGTATGCACCTTGTGGGTCCTCTGAAGAGGTCTGGGGATCCAGAAGGGCTCCTGAATCTTATTTAAAACTGACACTGCATTTCCCATGTCAACCAAGGCCGACACTGAACTGCCACATGCTGCTTGTGAGAGAAGAGAGGGCCGCCTCGAGTGTGGAAGGGGTTAGACCGTGGCAATGTTTATTTAGAAGTTAGTCAGTGTACACACTGTGTTTAGAAATCACAAACACTATGCCATATGACTTGCATTTTCTGCTCTGAATTCAATGTCTTCCGCCGTCTGAGAAGTGAGATGACGGGGGAGGAAATTATAAGGAAAGAAAAGGACATGAAGTCTTATATGGACACTAAAAATCTAAAAAAACGTCATCAAGACCAGAGCCCATCATCCTACGCTTACTAACCCCTTCTTACTCTATTTATTTTGCTTTATGTCTGAGTGTTTTGCCAGGTCCCATCCTTGGGAACAGGAGTTGCAGATGATTCTAAGTGGCCATGTGGGTGCTGGGAATTGAACCCAGATTCTCGACAAGAGCAGCCAATGCTCTAACCACTGAGCTATCTCTCCAGCCACTCTTCTTAATTTATATTTTCAACAACTGGTGGCAGGAGAGTGGACTTACTGAGTAAGGAAACCTCGGCCATATCACTAACTGATGACTAAGCTAAGCTAATGGGACATATTCCAGTGGTTACACATGACAAAAATGTAACCTTTACAAAACTGGTCCAGAAAAGTCACTAAGAAAAAAAAAGGTATAACAGAGAGAAAATAGGATTTCTAGAGTTGCTACAATACTTTCTTTCTTTCTTTTTCTTAAAGATAGAATCTCCCTCTGTAGCCCAGGCTACCCTCAAACTCACCACCTCCCTGCTTTAGCCTCTTAAGTAGTTACAATTGAAGGTGTATGACACCATGTACACCCTTCATCACAGTATTTTAAATGCCTTAATTTCTAATGAAAAAATGATAAGTCATAAAAAATAAGAGAGAGAGAGAGAGAGAGAGGTGGCTGGAGACGGCTCCGAGGTTAAGAGACCCGGCTGCTCTTCCAGAGGACCCGGTTTGACTCTCAGCACTCACGTGGTGGCTCACAACCAGCTGTATCTCAGGTCTCAGGGACCTGACAACCTCTTCTGGTGTCGGTGGGCTCTACACACACATGATACACAGACATACACCCATACACATAACACCACAGGCAAAACACCCATATACACCAAAGAAAAAGAATAAAATTTCAAGTTTTTAAAAGCGAAGATGGTCCACACCAAAATAAATTAATAATAGCTGTCTCTTAGTAAATCCAGATTGGACTTACCAGAGCTTAAATCAACTCTTATAGACAGTCTCAGAACTAAAAGAAACCATACACACACACACACACACAAAACAGCTAGATGAAGCCAAAGATGATGCCTCATCAAATAGAGGATATTAAAGGGACAGAATTTTTGTTTGTTTGGTTTTGTTTTTTGAGACATGTTTTCTCTGTATAGATCTGGTTGTCCTAGAACTAGCTCTGTAGACCAGACTAGCCTTGAAATCAGAGATCCACCTGCCTCTGCCTCCCAGGTGCTGGGATTAAAGATGTGTGCCACCACCCCCCAGCTAGAGACACAGAAATTATAAGAAGGAACAGAACAGAAATATCCCAGCACTGGAAAGTATAACAATTAAAATGTAAAACTCACGGGAGGGGTTTCCCAGACAACATGAGCAGCAGGCCGGAGAAGAAAAATCAGTAAAGGTGAAATTAAATCATTTCAGCTTACAGGGCAGAAATAAAAAAAAGTAAAGAAAAAGTAACACAACCTAGAAGTCTCAGAAGAAAGGGGAAAGAAGAAAGAGATAATATTTGAGGGCTAGCAAGATGGCTTAGTGGCCCCACTTGCAAGCAAACCCCACGACCTGAGTTTCATCCCTAGGACTTACATGGTGAAAGTAGAGAACCAACTCTGCCAAGTTGTCCTCTGACCTCCACTCCCAAGCTCGCTCTCTCTCTCTCTCTCTCTCTCTCTCTCTCTCTCTCTCTCTCTCTCTCTCTC